TGTGGGCAAAAAACATGAAAAAATGGAATGCTTCAGGCTGGGTGTAAAAGAAGGACAGCAATGGACAAAGTGAGCCAGGGAATCTAAAGGAGGCAGGTGAATGCAGGAAATTAGAGAACAGGGCCAGTCAGTTATTACTGAAAAGAGGGTAAGGCGAGGAAAGATGGCATCCGGTGGCACTGCCTCTGGGCAGGAACAGCTCTAGGTGCCATAATACAAAGGTGTGGCCATGGGAGAGGGCAGCTGAATTCCAAAAAATGAGGTGAAGGTGACTGGAAACAGGGTCAAAAAACAGAGTTTTGCAGATTTGGACAGAGTCCCATCAGATGAGGGCATGATGTGAGAAACAGTGAGTTGGGGGGAGGGAGGCCAAAAGATTTTAATGAATAGGAGTGAGGAGGAGGGAAATTAGAAAACGACAGGGAAGAAGAAGGTAGTGGAAGGTCTGTAATGGACATTTGTTGTTTCTACTTGTCCAATATTCATTGTTTCCTACTTCTTCTAATAACAGCATCTTGATTTTGCTTTAGAAGCCCCTTGCCTCCTCACATACTGGGAGGACTTCCAAAATTATTAGTAATATTTTAGTTTAATCTGCAAGATAAGAGCATGAGTGTTCATGTTATTCTTCGTTCAACCATATAGATACATTTTATTCCTTAGGTCATACAGATATATTTTATTATATAGTTTGTATATACATTTCACAGTTAAAACAAACAAACATACAGATAGACACTTCCCTTCCCCACGCTCTAAACATAAGGACCCGTGTCAGGTCTGGGCAATCAGAACTACAAAGACTGGTTTCGGCACCTGACCCAGTTTAGGCCCATGAGACGCCAGCCCAAGCTTTTGCTGGAACTATCAGGAAAGAGGTGCTCTTTCTGCTAGCGCTGGGAAGCTTGTTTGTATAACCTCTTCCTTCGCTAGCCTGAGAATAAAGCTAACACAGAAGAGAGCAGAGCCAAGAGGAAAGGGGCAGATTCCCGAGATCATTTGAATACTTACTTCCAGCCACCCCTAAAGCCAAATACCTGGGGCTTTTCAGTTAATATTCTTTTAACCAAAAAGAAGCCTAACTCAGTCGACCAGTCAAATAAAGGATTCTCCCTGAAACAGCCTGGGTGATCCTTTTCCACACAGAAGCCAAACCATACTCTCCGTCCGCTCAAGACCCTGCAATGGTTCGCAAAGGCTAATGTTCTCAGGCTGACCTACCAGGCCCCCACACCATGCCTGCCAACTGTGACTTTTCCATGGCTCACTCACGCTAGCCACACTGCCCTCGGGGCTGTTCCCTGACACCCCGAAAATGTGCCTTCAGGCCTCTGCTGTGGCTGTTCCCTCCACCTGGCTACCCCTCCAGGGAGCCGCCTGCAAACTGCCTCACCTCTTTCAAGTCTCCGCTCCAACCTCAAGTTCTCACTAAACCCTAGCCGATCCCCATCCCCATGGCCAGTGATCCCAAACAGCTCCCTGCCCTCCTGCTGCTTCCTTCCATAGAATTTATTACATAATATAGTATGTGCTCACTAAACATACCCAATGCGGGGGTGAGGGGTCTCCAACTGGTTGACTCACCTCAAGTTCCTAGAACAGTGCATGACTCTTAGCAGGCCCTCAACTATTTGCTGAATGAACAAATAAAATGACATGAGTCTCAAAGGAGCAGAACTTGCTTCACAGAGGCAGAGGAGGGAGAGGACACTAACCCACACTCCTGAACTTTTTCAAAGACTTCAGGGGAAGCAGTGACCTCGAGGGCAGGAAGTAGTGGAAGAGTTCAGTAAAGAGGCTGAGGATGTGGGTAGGAGTGTTAACCACAGTGAGAGGGCTTGATGTTAAGCTTTGGGAGCCACTCAGGAGTTGGGGGCTGAGGTGGGGGAGAAGCAGCCCAGAGCCGCTTGCAGATGAAAAGTTAAAGGGATGGGCCAGTGGTGTACTTACATTTTAAATATTTTATTTAATTATTTTGAGAGAGAGGAGAAGGGAAGGAGAAAGAGAGGGAAAGAAACACAACATTGGCCAGGAATGGGAATCAAACACGTGACCTTTCGGTTTTCAGGCGGGTCCTCTATACACTGAGCCACACCAGCCGGGGTAGCCTACTTACATTTTAGGTGGAGATGAAGAATGTAGTGACAAAAGGCTTATTGAGTTTAGCTGGCATCAAAAGAATTAGTCCTAGCAACCGCTGGTAGATAGAAAGGACTCTTCCCATCACTCATGATTTTAAGGATTTTAGGTTTTCTGGGTGGAGAGGCCATCACCTATGGCCTTTCCCTCCTTCCCAGCACCCAGAGGTCATCTAGAAGCTTCTGCCGGACCTGGGCCCGCAGACAGCAGTTCCCCTCACACAGCAGAATAACCCTGCACTCTAAGCAGCCTGTCAAATTTTCACTCTCCAAGCCCACAACTGACTCCGAAGCCAGCATCCGGGATCACAAACCTAATACTCAAAAAAGCAACAGAACAGGCCGCTCTGTAAAGACACACCAGAGCACTCACCGTTCCTACCTGCCCTCCACGCTGCCTCGGCAAGAGAAAGCGGGGCAAAGGGAAGCCTTCCTTCCACTGGTGCTGATTCACCCCTGTTGCTTTCTCTCTACAGAAATTTCTCCAGTTATGAAAACACACATGCATGCCAAGATTCAAGGAAAATGTTACTCCCAGTCAGAGAAAGAAATTACATTATTTAGCCTCTCAGGAGAAGTGGCTCACTCTAAATCAGGCCATTGGGAGTCAGGTCATTTTGATGTGTCTTACAGCTATAAGGAGACCTATTAAATATTCAATAATGAATAATAAGGTCTTCAAGACTTTCTCTCACACACAGAAGTGTCTCTGTAAAGGCAGGCAGCAGTAATTAGACTTGGGCCTGACTTCCTGCTCATCAGTAAGATCTTGGTGGTACAGGGTATTTGTCCTCCTGGTGCTTATCAGTAAAATGCCCATACTTCAGAGTAAGGTGTCCTCCAACGGTGGATCATTAAGCAAATATTTAAAATTGCCACCTGTAGTAGCCAGCCTCCAAGATGGCCCCAGTGATCCCTAACTTAATGTTGTTGATCAGTTCTGCGACTGCAAGTGAAACTTGCATATAACAAAACCATAACCTAATTATATAAACAAGAGTTAAGCTCCTACAGTAGCTCATCAATGCTATAATAAAGCCAGGTTATCTGAGGACCTGTTGATATACTCATACCCTCTTCCCACATTGTACCAGCATTGGTCTATGTGACCAACAGAATATGGCAGAGGCCTGCCACTTCCAAGATTAGGTTACACAGACTGTGGCTTGCATCTTGGGCGCTCTCGCTTTCTGGGATCGCTGGCTCTGGAGGACGCCAGGGCAAGCAGCCTGACAGAGGGGAACTGCGACCTGCCAATAGCCAAGTGAGTGGGCCTGGAAGCCCACCTCCCCAAGTCTAGACTTCAGATGACCGAAACCCTCATCAACAACAACCTCATGAAAGACCCGAGTCACAGCCCTCCAGCTAAATGGCTCCCAGATTTTTGACCCTCAGGTACTATTTTCAGGTGCTAAATTTTGGTGTATTTTGTTACACAGCAATAGATAATTAATTTACTATCCTACAAAGACCTGAGATGGAAAGCAAAAGATTTCCTAACCAACATACATGTAGGATAATTTCTCTTTCCATAAAAAAGCAACAAATTATTCATTCAGACATTTCAACAATTACTTATTGAGTGTCAAATATGGGGAAGGTATTTTTAAGCAACACAAGCCTTCATATAGTTTATAGTCTATAAAATAAAGAAAAACAATCACAAAAAGCCCCCCCCACACACACCCCTCAAGCTGCTCAAACCACTGGTTTAATCAGCTTTTTAAGTCTTCTTACTCCTACTGTTTTATCCCCCACTCCCCACTCTTTGCTTTTAGGATCTCTCTCAGGAAAGTATACTAAACACCCCTTCCCAGCTATTTTGAGTGCAGGCGTCCTCATTTTACTTGTACCACACGCCCTCCCATATAAGGGGAAAAGAAAGTTAGGTCCCCTAATTTCATTTAGTATTAGGACAAGAAGGAATTCACTTCACATTTTACTAGGAGGAGGAAATACTGATCACAAGTGCTGAGAACAATTCTGATTTTTGCAATTAGTGACAAGTGTCAACAGCAGCGCTAACACAATCACGGCTCGAGTCCCGGCCGCCGCTGAAATGGCGACAGGGGAGGGGGATGCGGCCCCTTTGCCCCCACTAGACTCTGCTGTCTCTCAAAGCAGCAGGAGGGTTGTGCTGCTCTAAGAAAATTGGGAGCCTCACTCTGCACAAAGAAGGTCAGAGGGCGAGCTTTCCTTCCATCAACCACAAAACCAGCGGCTGCCAAACCTAAACAATGTGGGAGGCCTCCAGAGGTGAAGGGAGACCCAGACCGAAAACCGCAGCTGAGCCTCCTGCCACCACCGGCTGGGGTCTGAGTCAGGTGACTCGTCAGGGCACACAACAAACCTAGACAAAGATCCCTCCCCACGGGACAGACGGGGAGGAAGATGACTGGCAGTAAGACCGAGGCTGCCCAGTCCTGCTACAAAAAACCATTAACTCTTACTTCTTGGCAGCCGCGGCAAACTGGAGGAGCTACAAGTTACTCCGCAGCTCAGCCTTCAGGGATGCCCCTGGAGGAACTTGGGACCCCATCCCAGGACACAGGCGCCGGGCGCCGCACTCACGCCTCCGGCCCCAGCCCGCAGGCGGGACCCCTCCCCACCAGCTGTCACCGGCGCTCGAAACCAGTCAAAGCCGGGCAAGCCCGTCCTGTCTGGCCGCTTCCCCTGCGGCTGCGACCCCACGGGGGCGACAGAGAGGAAACGCCTTTTCCAAAGGCTCTGGGGGCGAGGGCACGCCCGCCCCCGGGAAGGGGCGCCAGGGTGGGCGCGGCCCGGTGCCCAAGGGAGCTCGGAATCTATCATCCCCTTAGGGACAGAAATGAACCTCCCAGTCCCCTGCTAAGCGCGCCCCACCTTGTCGGCGAAGCTGCGGGCCAAGAGCAGGTCCGGGCTGGGCGTGCTGTCGCCGCCCACGGCCTCCTCGCTGCTGGAGCCGGCCAGCGGGTGCGGCATGTCGCGCAGGGAGTGGGGCCCCGTGGACGGCAGGGCCTTGGGGAGCCCGCCCGACATGGCGTGCACCGCCTGGGACGCGCCGCCGCCGCTTCCTACTGCTGCCCTGAGAGGCGGGCTCCCCCAGCGCCCGGGCCGAGGCCCCGCTCCGCAGCTGCTCTGTCGGAGGCCCTGCACCCGCCGCCGCCGCCGCTCCCGCCGCCCGCAGGCTCGTCTCTGCCCGCGCCGGGCTGGGCTGGGCGGGGCTGCTCCGCGCCGCGCGCCCCCGCTCCGCGCCCGAGCCCGCCGCGGACCGCTCGCACCTTGGCCGCTGGCGGCCAGCCAGCACCGCCACGCCGCCCGGCCTCGCGCGGCCCCGCCCCCGCGGCGCCTCGGCCGCCCCGGGAGGCGGAGGGAGATGGGGTGGCCGGGAGGGGGGAAACGGGGAGGCGGGCGGCTCTGTCCCCGCCCGCAGCCCCGCAGGAAGTGCGCCCTGAGCCCTCGGCTGCTGTCCTCCGAGTGTCCAACCTCGCCTCGGAGAGACCGGCCCTGCAGAGACTGCGCGCTGTCCCCAGAGCAAATGTTTAACGGAAATCAGAGGTGAAAAAAGACGTTGGAGGATCCTGCTGTTCCATTCCACCCGCGCTTACTGATGCGCCCGTGGGCAGCCACGCTTGTGTCTGGGGGCTTTGGACCACGCACGTGGGTTGAGATCGTCTGCCCTTTAAAATAATCCAGAGATTACGAGGCATATTTTAAGAATGGCATAAAGTGCTATTATTATGCTCAAAGGAGAGAGAGAACCACAAGTCATGAAGACTGCGTGGAATTTCTTGCAATGCACGCTGAGATCCCCGTGGTATCTTGCTTCTGCAGCTAAGCTGGGTTTCTGTTAGGTTAAACCTCAGAAGAGTGAGCATCAGTAAAGAGAGTGCTGCAAATGATGTGTGACATTTAAACTCACACTTTGACTGAACTGCCTTTTGAGAGAACTGTGAGGTTTAAGCTCTTTTTTCATGTTTTTGTGCTTCCTTCCCAGGCCTTTGGCCTAGCTGGGTTCTTGGCATTATTTATTTGCCAGCAGAATGGAGATAGTTAAGACATTACTTCAGCTCTTTGGGATGGAAGTTCACTTCCTTCTCCCACCTTACTTCTCTGCAACTTCTGTTTTTAGGGCCAAGTCACTAGAGGATATCCAGGCAAAAACAGATTAATACCTGTTAAGTAACAGGTAGGGTGGCTTATTGTGAAATTGTCCCATTTCACCTAACAATCTTGAAGCTGGGATTCACTGTGGTCTACAGCCCACTTTGGTGTAGAAACGAGTGATAACTTCAGAAGGAGGGGAATGCAGAGAGTTGAAGCTGACCCAAAATAGCACTCAGAGACTCAAAGAGCTTCAGAGATCTTCCTTATTTTCCCTGGTGTAATTCATCAGGCCTGAGTCCTCACTTAATCACCTTTTACCTCCTCTACCTGTGTCTGCCTTGTGGGGAGACTAGGACTCAGAGGACACTGGGAACAATTTTAAATGCTGCCTCTCCCTCACAGAAGTGCCAAAGTCTGGTTCTCCTGGAGTCGGGTAAAATCAGCTTCTGTGTTCAACAGCTACTTAACAACTACTACAGACCTATCCACCATTCTTCTGATTGGCGTTGAAATAAATAACATGAATATAACTAGAAATGAGTGTTCTACAGATGTATAGCATAGGTGTTTCTTATTGAATGGCATTATTTATTTTAACAACCAGGCTGCCTTAAACATGACAGAGATCTTATTAAGACTCTACAGAGCTTTCTCTTCAGAACACCAGGGGAGGGTGAAAAGTGAGCCACCTTTGAATTTCTCCTTAGTCACCACAAGTGAGTGACCATGAGCATGTTGCCTAATCTTAATGAACCTGATTTCTAACCTAAAAAGAAGCACAGGGAACAGGTAAAAAATACCTTAGGTGGTGGTTGTGAGAATGAAATAGCATTCTCTAACATTCCTAGAAAAATGCTGGTGTGGAATAGATGCTCCCTAAATGTTGATTCCCTTCCTTTTCCTGTCTGTCAGGTTTTCTCTACTATTCTTATGAAATAATCATCATAGGGTTTCATAATGAAACATGCTGCACTCCAAATTCTTCTATTTGCTCAGTTTGGGTCAGAGTACCATTTTTCTATGGCACCCACCAAAAACCCTCCAAAACAAAACAAAAAGAAAAAGAAAAAAACCCAGAATCCCTGAAAGGCCATATGAAACAGTTTATTTTCCAATTTCCTGATTGGTCAGTGGCATGTGGCCGCAATGATCCAGTGGGTAGTCATGAAAACTGAAGAAAGTCAACTTCTTTGGAAAACATTTTGCTACAAAGCTTCCACCATTCAATTTTAGCCCAAGACTGCCTATTCATACTCACCATTTCCTGTTGTATTTCAGTGTTCCTTGTGGTGGGAAACTGTCACTGAAATAACTAAGTGTCCCAGGGTATGTGACTGTGCTTTTACTAAAAGTTTTCAAAGCAACATGGTAGTAAGGAGGAGACGTGAAGTTTTTGTATCAGGACAGAAATTTCTAGCGTTTGGTGGAATTTGTGGAGGAAAGCTTGGATTTCTAGGGCTGAGCTCTGAGGAAGAACATCCTGGAACTATATGCATGGGGGAATCGGGGGGATGCCACCGAACCCAAGAACAGAGCAGGGGGCCTTCCCCCAGCCACTGGGAATCTTAGGCCTTGGGGCGGGTGCCTTCCAGGAGACAGGGCTCCGGGCCCCAGAATCTGATGTTGGCCAAGCTGGAATCCTGTAAACCTCACCAGCAAGCCCGTGAGGACCTCACATGAGCACCCAGATCTCAGAGACAAAGCAGAGTCACGCAGAGCCTTGTCTCTTTGTCTCCCCTGGTACAGCACGTGCTTAGGCTGTATTCATGTTTGTGTTAGCTGCTCACCCTCTTCTGGTTTTGAATACAATCATAGCTTTATTCTATATGGCATCACAAACCCGGCCTCAGAATAACACCAGCCCTTCTGAAGTGGCTGGCTGATGAGGACAAAGGAGGTTTTCAAAGAGCATTCACAGTGACATGGAGAAAGCCACAGAGGGCTGTCTCAAACAAGAGGGGCAACTGAGAAGGCCCCTGTCGCCAACGCCAATGGAGGCAAAGTTGTGTGGACAATTTAACTCAGCCAACGACGCCCCAGGAAAAAGCAAAAGCCAGCAGGTCTACTTGAGGCCAGGACCTGAAGAGCTTTGCAAACAAGAAATTGGACCTTGCCCCAGAACCGGCAGAGATGATTGTGGTTAAATGATAGGACCCTTTACCTTTCTATATGGGAGTGCCCAGCCCCCAAACCATGGAGACCCACTGCAGTGGGCAATGCAGCCCAGGTCATGGACTCGTGCCTAAGAACCACCTGTGAGTATTCAAATGCAAATTTCTGAGAGATTCTGATTCTGGCATAGGAACTGCAATCTAACTTTTTTAACAACCGCCCACCTGATGCTCATGCTTTGATGAACACTGTTCTCAGAGCCCCACCCACTTCTCTAAACCAGAAACTGACATTCCAAACCTCCTTTTGTAAATAGTAGTTTAAGTGCTGACTTTGGAGAAATCTCCTGTTTGCTGAAAAGTGCTCAAAACACAAATTTCTCTTACAAAATGCTATTGCAGAGTCCTTTACCCCTAAACTTTTATGGTTACTTTTACTGAGGATCTACCAGGTGCTGAAAGTTTAGAAGGGCTCGCATGAACGCAATTGTCTGTTGACAGATTCATTTTGTAGTGCTGGCTGTGAAGTGCCTCACAATGAAGTGAATATTTTCCAGAGCCCCAGAACTTTTGGCTGGTCACATAGACAACTAGGAATGGGGCCTCATGTGGCCATAGAAATGCAATTCACCACCACCACAAGGGACACCCACTACCTGGCTCTCTTCACCAGTAGGCTCTGGATTGCGTGGGTGTGTATGTGTTCTTCATGGTAGCTGCCCATTACAGAGCTGGGGCTGGAGGAGACACTGAGCCGACAAGTACAGGGAGCTCTGGCACTGAGTCTATTAACAGTGAATTTTGGGTAGGATAGAAAAACCTATTTCCTGACTGTGTGCTCCACGATAGTGTTACAGTCTATCTAGAAGAGGAACATCCGGGCATCATATGACCCAGCAGTTTCGCTCCCAGACCACAACAGAAATGCATGTGTATATTCATCAAAAGATGGATTCAGGAATCTTCACATCAGCATTCTTTATATAAATTTACATACACAGGCATCGAGTGTGTGGCCCTAACTTCATCAGTGAGGAAGCTGAGGCCCAGAAATGTTAAGTAATTTGCTCAGGGCCAACCAGCTAGTGCTATTGCTAAGTATCCTTCCATTCGGATTGTATAGTGATTCACATGTGGGTTTGGGAATATAATTTAAATAAAGCCAAAATGTAAAGGAGTGTGTGGGTGGGGAGAGAGAGCGAGACAGACAGACAGACACAGAGAGATTAGCAACTATTATTTGACTACCAGTTATTTGCCCCTTTTTGCTGTTGTCCTGTCTCCCTCCCTCCCCCCTCCTCCCTACAAATGCAGATTTGTGAGGACTGGATGCCTGGAGCTGCTACAGCCATCTTGTGGCCAAGAGTGGAGGCATCCCTGATACCCTGAGGATCGCTGAGAGGGTGAGAACCTGTGTTTCGATGGCACGATTGAGCCACTGCACCAAACTCCAGTCTTCTTAAGTAAACAGTAAACGCCCCTTTGGTCTCAGGCAGTTTAATTGGTATCCCTGTAACATGCAGCTGAAGTCATCCATAGAGATTTAGAAGATGAGAAATACAACAAGCAGGCAGGAAAGAATCTAAGAAGTTTCCCTTTGTGTGTAGCAATGTTTCTCCGCAGCAGAACCATTCTTCTATCACGTGTATTCTGGAAAGAGGAAATTGATTCTTGGATGGAGCAAAAAAGTCTTAGATATTACAATGATATCTTAGAGATCACCCCCAGCTAGATGAGGTAATTAATTATGCTGAAACCTCAGGAGTCTGTGATTGGTAGAGCAGGAGGCTTGGTTTTCTTTGCCCCTACTTGGGGCCTCCTACGATATGGCAGGCAGCACACCATCACCGCCACTCATGAAGAAAACGGGAAATTCAGGAAGTTGCACTCATTACACACCCATTAATCTGATTCTCTCTGCTTGTTAGAAT